AGGAAATCTCAGCTGCCCACAGGGGCGCGGAGGAGAGAAGCAATAGCAAAGCAGAGTGACACCATGCAGACCCCGCAGGCATTTTGGTTTCTCGGCTGCACAGGGCGAGCACTGAGTAGGCTCTAAAAGGAGAAGTTGTGTCGCATTAGCTGTCAGCTCCTGCTGTAGGATGCAGTAAGCACAGCCCGGGCGGCTGCCCGGGGCGGCAGAGCCAGCCCGGGGGGTCGGGCTCCCGCTGCAGGGACAGCTGTCGGCAGCGGGGCCAGGGCTCCCGGGAGCCACTGGAAACTGCTCAGGATTTCTTTGGGCAACAAAATGGCAGTTGTCAAGCTATGTTTTTGAGAAAACTTACCTTTGTATTTTAGGAGGTAGTACTTTGACTGTATAAAATATTCAGGGTATTCTGCTTTAAAAAAAAAAAAAAGCTGCAGATACCGAAACCCTTTTTGTTTTCTTTTTAGTGGTGCATGACTGAGGTATGAGTTTTTTACAACTATCTGAAAAAAACTCAGTGTTCAGATAAGCAAAACAAAATCGTTTCCATCTCACTACTTCGCCGCCCAGCCCTTGTTGCGAGCACAGCCTTTTTGCACTGTTCCTGCAAAGAGGGTTTCTGGTGAAGCGTTGAGCCCAGCCCGGCTCTGGCTCTGGTGGTGGGGCTTCATTTGTCAGTGGGGATAGAGCCCACAGGGACTGAGAAAAACACTCAGAGAAAACACTCTGATCTCTGAGCCACAGTAATTTACCTACAATTAGTTAGTATTTTTTTTAAATTATCTTTTAAGTGCATTAGCATTTCTCTTAGGAACAAACATGTCTGAAGGAGCAATTTTACATCTGATAATCTTTTAGCAACACACACATAAAAAGCTTCAATTTATATTTTGGTGTGTAAAATATTCTTTCTCCCTCCTCATTATGCTTACATTAAAAGGTGCTGATTTACATTAAAAGATGTTGATACCAAGTATGGGATATTTCAGCCTCAGGGAAAGTCTAGTGCAACAAGCTCTGGATGTTTTAGCATAACAGAAATCCTCACAGCCTTCACAGTATTTTGTCTCCCTTCTAGCATAGCCTCTCCAACACTGGAATAGATGTGTAAATCAGGTGTGTTTGACAGCAGCAGGATAACACTGAATAGGTCTTAGCGCAAACAAAACCAATGATCCCAGAAAGCCAGGATTTTGGAGGTGTGGATCAAGACCTGAATTTTGCTGCTCAGACTCTCTCCTGATCCCTTTTGTGGGAGATCAGATTTGTAACACAGTTGTGAGGAAATGCTTTCAACCAGCCCAGCTTGGTCTGTCTTTTCTTGCTCTGGGGAATTGCAACATGCATGGAGAGGCTAATAAAACACACAACACGCCAAGAACGTGACAGCTATTTCCATTTTCTGTTTGGGACTTCTGCCTGCTTACAAAGCAACCTTCCCGCCCCTCGTGGAAGAATTGCTTTGATACTCACCGCTTCCACTCTGCCTCAGAGCAGCAAGTTCCCGTGCCCCTGCGTGCATGATGGGGGACAGCCCTGGATGTGTTAGAAACCACGGGAGCACCTGAGAATGGTCAC